AAGATGCATGGTTAGATGTTACGCGCGGACTCGATGGTTAGTATGCATGGGTTTTGTCCTCTTGATAACACTCACTGCGATGTTTCAGGCCCGTTTCCAAGTCTACATGAGGCAACATCTTTTTCAATGTGTCAATATCCTCAGCCTCGGTCAGTGTTTTGTAGTTGGCTTGCAAAATGTGAACAGAGATTGGTCAGAATATTTTACCGTATCCATATGAGACACATCGATCGTGAAAAATAAGAACTACAGTAAAAAAATAATCAAACTATAGTTTGATGTAATCAATACAATTTTATTTTTCTGAACGAATTAAGTCCGATTCGTGGCATGATGATTAGATGAAGAGGATTCTAGAGAATCTGACGGACTGTTACTCAAATAAGCGGGGGACGAAACCGGCTTTATGTCGCACAAAAAGCGCCGGTTGGATGACACGAACGATTTGGAGTAGATCACTCTTTATCACTCCCAGAGGAACAACATATTAAGCGTGATATTTACAGATAATCCCGGTTGTCTCGATCGGTACGTAGAATGCGTTTCATGGGTCTCCATTCCTGTGAAGCACAAACTCCGCTCAAAAGAGCAGACATTCGCTATCTAAACTAGTCCGGGTGTACACGTCAACTTCGGCAAGGAGTAACAGGAAGCATTGTTGGTTTGGTTGCTCAAGATTGCTGAATGAATAATCATGAATAAGTAATAAATGAAAAAGTATTACTTAATCGGGCTAACAGATGGGTATAAGTATATGCAAAGTGAATGTGTTATTAGGTGTTTGATGTTGAAGATACTCGTCAGCAGCGCCTGTTTTATGTACCTACAGGGTTCTCGAAGCTTAAACTTTTGTGTTTGGATTTGCAACCCGTACTCTTGGGTTACACGATCGAAGGCGAACACCTTCCCATTGCCAGTAAACTCTGCCATTAGGAGGTTCGATATATATATATATATATATAATGTGGAAGAGATACCCGTGAATTCAAGTGCACGAACCAAATCACAACTCAAGAAGAATAAATTTTCCGTTTGATAGAACTATTCAGTAAAATGATTATTTTCAAACCTGGGACGCACGTCGATTACCGAAGTGTTTCTGCAAATCGCCGAGGACCAGCAAGGTTTTCAGCGGCGCAGAATACTACTGGGAACTGCTGAATCATTAAAGTTATTGAATACAATAGTAATAATGTTCACTCAACCTCTGCAATTTAGTATATTTCCTTACGATTAATGGGTAATATTAATGTATTTGATTCATCGAGAATGAGTGGCATATCTCACAAATTAAATACCCAGTTGTATATAGCACTGAATCATCAAGGACATTAGCATAATTACCTGCATTAGGAGTTCGGGAACGCAATTTTGTACCGCGGTTTGTTGTTAGTTCTTTCCCGCCTTCTACAAAAATGACATAACGTTCGTCATCAGAAATCAATAAGAAAGTTAGCAAACTTGCAAACTTGCAAAGCGAATTAAGAATGAGATTTAAATTATTTTAAGTTCTGCAATCAATAAATTGATAATTAACCCACCTGGCAAAGTATTTTATGGTTTCGCTGAACAAATATGTTATTTTCTTCATCTACTGGACCTCAGTTTTCGTATACTTCTCACGATCTCCTCTGACATACTTTCTTTAGGACTTCGTAACCTGGTGTACATAGCTCTAGAAGCTAAAAAGGTTCAACTAAGAAGCTTGGAGTTATTGCTCATATGTAACAATGTGAAGAGGAATGCGGTACACTCTTATTTTGGTGGGTGATAAGGACCCTGACTGAGTGCTTCTTATTAATTTCCGTCCCTAAAGGGATTGAAAACTCTCAACTAAATGTCACCGTTTCACTGTGTATAAGGAAGCCCGATAAATGGTAACCACAAACGTTAATGTTTGCTGATGATGCGAAATATGGAAAACTGACAAAACCTGGGGGACTCGCTGGCACTGCGGAGAACACTCAATGCTGCTTATCAATGGTCGATCGAAAACGAAATAGAATTCAATGCACCAAAATGTACGGTTGTATCCCTTCGCCACAGAACTCGGTTTCCGTACACCTTGGTATATCAACAACTCAAATGAGAGGGAGAATGGTGTTATTGTTCAAGACGACCAAAATTGTTCTTGAAACTGCTGCAGGGTGTTGCAACCACTGTAAGACGTGTCGGTTTGTTAAAGGCACTATTTGGCTAATTTGAACCTATGCTGGGCCCACGTTTGTTATCAGGCTAAATTTTACTACAGATGGAGTCTGCAATTCAAGCGTGGAACCCATGGCTGCGATAAGACCGCAAGTTTCAAGACGGTCCATGAAGAATGGCCCCAAAAAATGGTTAGGGGACCGCATTCCAAGACTGGAATCATTGGAGCTATACACCACAGAGTATCGCCCAATTCGATGGGACATGATTTTCGTGTGCAAAATGTGACAAATGTCGTTCACCTTTGGCCTTATTGCCTAACACTCATCTCATGGGGCACTCATTCAAAGTGATGCTCCCAAAGTGTCGACTAGAATGCCTGCATCATTCATTCGCCCGCAAGGTGTGTGTGTGTGTGCAATTTTCTACCACCTCGCGTTGTTTCTGCGCCAACAGTTGCTTCTCTCAAGCAGAACATGCATAAAACTTTGATGGGTCCTTAATTCCGACATCCGTCGCAGTGCACGAAAAAAAGATAAACTGTTACATTCCTCATCTTTCTATGAACCGCAGTGCGATCCATTTGTGCCAAAAACGATATGGGACAATGAGAGCAACCGCTTGTAAGTCTTTCCCATAATAAAACAAGGACTTTGACTTTGAATCTGATAGAGGAACAAGCATTTAATCCTGTTTGATCTCCGCGGGTTTGGATGCTTCCGGTTTCTACTGGTGATGCTATTCAGAATTCCGACGTTTAGTCAAAATTCCCACTTTGAGGAGTTCATTGCCTTTTCTAACTCCGAAGTAATGATTTGCCTGCCTTGAGAATAATTTTAACGTGGAGGAAAACACATTGAATATTTTCCCGCTGTTTTTCTAACGCACTGAACACAACAGGCAGCTTCATCTATGATCGTGTTTGAGATCAGTCTGCAAAGTTCCCTAAAACATTCTTTTCTCCCATTTGTAAAATATACGACTCCCTGTAAGTTGTCCAATGACCTGTGGCGGATTGTGTGGTTAAGTTGACGTTAAAGGTGATCCCGTGGGCTTATTTTACTGCACATTTATTGATCCTCGTGGAATGTGGCACAAATGTTGTCATGATAAGTTACCGATATTAGTATTTATACATAAATGGATACAGGTCACGGAGGAAAATAAACACATTCTGTTTGTATTCAGCCCATTGTTTTCCTGGGAAGTAATTTGTTTACAAGGAATACATGGCAAAATTTGAGTCACTCATTCTGATTTTGTTTTATTTGGATCTAACGCACACACACCGTCAAATAATCACATGAATTTCAAATTAATGATCAAATTTCATTGAAAGCGGTTTAAAACACTCGGGTAATAAATTTTAAGGTTCCAACATATTTCGAATAAATCAATACATTATTTTTCATAGATGTTACACTGTGATCCGCATTTCCATGTGGATCGTAATCCGCGAAAATCTCATCCGTTGAGCTATCTGGATGTTAGTGACTAATATTGGAGCAAATGTTGTGCTGTCCGGGGTTCGATCAGTCCGCAAACTGGAACTTAACGTCTCGAACTGATCGCACATAGCAAACGGTCTAATTATAAAGCACTGAAATCCATGGTTTGATGCAATAATGCGATTTGTGCATTCAATTGCGAAATAACTGGAACGCTGTACACTAAAATGTTATTGTTCTTTATCTTTGGAAAATTGGAAGTTTCATTTTTAATACGAGGTTTTGTTAGATCAAGAAAGATCCTCCTGCGACCGAGCGTTTTTGTGCTAAAAACCAGCCTAACGGATTAAGTACAATGTAAAATAAGACGTTTACAAATAAAGAAATTTGAATATGGTGTCGATAAGGTTAGAGCTAGTTTTCATGGTACTAGAACGTTGTAAATCAAGCAAATAATCGATTCATATTGCTCTTGCAATCATTTTCATTCTCCATGCATGCAAACAGTATAGATTCCGTAACAGACAGACAGACATATTTCGAGGAACCATCCCTTCATTCTAGCCAACTTACGCAGCTCGGTGTTTCGTTTGCAAAGCCTTCGTCATCTATGGTCCCATTAACCAGTCGAACACGCTACCAAGTTCAGTACACCGATTAACATGCATCTTATCGACCTGGATAACGATAATCAATATTTTGTCCGTTGTTTGCAATGCTTTTCATTTGAACCATCAGCTTTGTCCAAACACGAAGGTTAAAAAGACCAAACCTCAGATGTATCTATTTCATCCGTTCATATTCGTCGCGGACTCCCACACACACTTCAATTGGAAGCTGATCTGAATTATTTAGCTGGTTATAGATAATCAATGTATTCCTCTTAAGGAAAGGCAACCCACAACAATCAATACAATATGCACATGTTCACATCTTGAATTATATACGGCTTCGCAGGTATTCATGACGCACCACAATTAACCCATTACATGATTTTGAAATTTGATTCCACTCGAGGAATACAAGTTGATCTAATCAACTTTCCAATGCTACAGGTAAATAGTCGCGGTCATGGTTCACCACGGTCTACCAGAAAGATGTGTCAACAGATTGGAGGCTCGGGGACTTGAAGACAGTCATCGTCTGATGTCACGAACCAGCCTGATAAATCAAGCATTCCGAAACGAAGTCCAAGCATAATCTAGAAAATTCGTTTTTGTCAAGTCTTCGCGAAACAGGCTAAGGTTTACGACCACAAAGGGTGAAATTTCAGCAATAAATCTCCAGCAAAGAAACTCACTGCCATTTGTTGTGCTTGGTGCCGGCATTGTCCAATATTCAAGTGATTGGTGAACAGTGAGTTGATCTCAGCCTCCAGAGAAGTGGAGGTTGTGCAACTGAAACGGTAAGGGTAAATTAATGTTAATTTTATTCAGCATTAAACTACATGCATTAGAAAAATGATGAAAAGGCCCGTGTAGGTTAGTTCGTTTGATCATTTAATGTGTCTCAAGGGATTTTGGCGAAATCAACTGATTCGCCGTTTACCACAGATTGTGATCATGTTCTTTTTATTGCAGACGTTTGCGCACAAATGCACATGGACGTGCTTTCATCACGGGCGGTTAATTTTGCGCAGTTGTAACCGATCGACGGAACTCTAGAAACCAGCCATACCGGCCCGGGTTGATCGGGTTTCGTAATGGGTACATTCGTTCACACGGTTTAGGTTACGCATTTTTACTTTTCTCCTTTACGATTGGGGTTTTGGCACCGAGTATGCACTGTTGAGCAGCATCCGAGACACGTACTTGGCAGAAATTGAAACTCCTGGTGAGGAGGTGTTGGTGGGCCTCGAGGTAAGTAGTTCAAGATTATCACTCTATTTCTGCGACTTAATCATAACGATACGCTGCATCACTGCTGATGCAAATGAAGCCTGAAAGAGGTCTTCTTTTTCTAGTACCTGATCCTAGTTAGATTGCCAGTATTATTATGCAGAACAGCTGCTTTGTGTCGTTCTAGAAATCATCCCTTATACTGTTGTTTCACTCGATTCTGGAGGAGGAATATGCATAATTGCAGTTATTGATGGATGACAGAAATAATGATGTATTCGGAATAGAGCACCTACAGATCCGACAGACGCGTAGAAACCCTCAGATCATTCCCGTTGCAGAAGAATACAAATGCTCTCTCGCAGTCACTCTCTCCCTCTCAAGTAGATTGATCAAAGAATGATGTCCTTTTCGTTCGTAAATCGTATTTATTCTTCTACTGAACTACTTCTCATGGGAAGAAACCTTTGGTAAGTCTGGGAAACCCCGCTGGATCATTGTGTTGAACGAAGTACATCACAAAGGATAAAATCTTTTCACCCCATTGTCATTTATATCTGGAAAGTTCAGTCCAAACTGTGAAGCTTAGATTGCTGATTATTGTACCACAGGATTCCATATATTTGCCTAGAATTATTCACTTTCATGGCTTAGAAGAAGACGTATATGGGCAAAGGAAACTGTGTGATAAAAGGTAAAGGTCTTCTGACAAATCTTATTAACCAATTTACATGACGAAGATCAATCGACTTGAAACTAATTAGCTTCCTTGCTAACAAGCTATAAGGTTATTGAAACTCTGTGGAGAAAGGTTCTCTTCAAATATAAGTACTGCAGTCCGAAATGCAGCTTTCGATGTGTGTGTGTGGGTACTTACCAGTTCAACTATAATGTTGAAAACAAGGTTTTGAAAAGAACGAATAAAAGTAGCTTGGCATTTATTCTCTTCCCCTAACTCATATAGGCCGACTCAAGTGGCATTGTGCAATTTTCCCAGTTTCACCGGGTGAAATTGTTTCTGCCGTGGGTAAGGATTGTTCTTTCCCAAGTCGCTTCATGCGCCTAATCCGAGCATCGTGCCTCGTGAAATGATGATAGTCGAGCAGAAGGTATTAACACTTTGCTTGTAGCTGTGCATTTTTTATCATTTATTTCTTTTTCAGAGAGAAGCGCCCAACCAAACGGCCACTTTTGGTAACCAGTTGGTGGATGCGCACACGGTCGGTTTGTGGATGTC